CTTTTTAACTTAACATTTAAAGATTGAAATTTGTTCAGGAGTCTTGATGCCAGCATTTGGGTCTGTCCCTTCTTTTCCTTTCTAACCGGATTTGCATGAACATTATTTTCCTCCACACACTGCTTTTCCTGGTATCCCACACCCTTAGATAATGTTCTGTTATATTCTGTTCAATATATTTTATAATTTCCCTAGAAATTTCTTATTTGGTCTATGGGTTATTTTATAATACACAATATCAATTTTTGGAATTTGGGGATTTCCTAGGCATTATTATTGGTCATTAATTTAGTTCTGGTTGATCATAAAACATACTGTGTGAGATTTCAGCCTTGTGAAGTTTACTGAGTCTTATATTCCAGCAGTATCCCTTTCTAGTCACTCTAAATATTTTCTCTATGTCTTTGTTTGCAGAAATTTGACAGGGATCCCAGTAGTTCGTTATACTTTGTTTATTTTTTTGTTTGTTTGTTTTTTGACTTTTTAGAGTTGCTTGATTCCCTTTCTTCTGTAAGTCAATGTTTTCAAACATGAATAATTTTTTGCAGTATCTTTTTAGATGTTTTATTCTCTACTATTTTTATTCTTTTCTCTGGCTGGTATTCATATTACTTATACAAGAGTTCTTGCTATTATCGTTTAATTGGTCCCTTAGATTGGATCATTTACCTTTAGCTGTTTTTCTCTCTGCGTTTTGGAGTATACAATATTACAATTTAAATTTTTCTTCTGTGATCTTCAATTTGCTATCGAGCTAAGTGAAGTTGTAAATTTCAGTTATTAAAATGATCAGTTCTTGAATTCTTATTTATGTGTTTATTTATTTTTTTTATTGGTTCTTTTTAGTTACACATGACAGTAGAATCCATTTAGAATATATACACAATTAGAATCCATGGTGTATATATAATACAAGAATGGGATATATCTTGTTCTAATTCATTCTCCAGCACCTCTTACTTTCACACCCCTTCCCCCATTGCCTGCTCCCTTCCCTCTACTGATCTTTCTGTTATTTACACATAGTTATTCTCTCTCTCTCTCTCTCTCTCTCTCTCTCTCTCTCTCTCTCTCTCTTTTACATTTCCTATGGATGCACAAAATGGTGATATTTACTGTGATATATTGATATTTGTACATGGAAAGTTATGTCAGATTCATTCCCCTGTCTCTTTTTCCATCCCCCTCTTTCCCTATTGTCTCATCCACTGGACTTCTATTTTTTATTCCACCTTCCACCCTCTTATTGTAGACTAGCTTCCCCATATCACAGAACACATTCAACTTCTGGTTTTTGGGACTGGCTAATTTCACTTAGCACAATAGTCCTCAGATCCATCCATTTACTGGCAAATTTCATAAAGTCATTTTTTTTTATGGAAGAGAAATACTCCATTGTGTGTATATAACACAATATCTTCATCCATTTATCTGTTGAAGGACACCTAGTTTGGCTCCATAGCTTAGCTATTGTGAATTGTGTTGCTGTCAACTTTGATGTGGCTGTGTCACTGCAGTATGCTGATTTTAGATCCTTTGGGTATAGACCAAAGGGTGGAATAGCTGGGTCAAATGATAGTTCCATTCCTAATTTTTTTTTTTTGAGGCAATTTTATACTGCTTTCCAGAGTGGCTGCACCAGTTTGCAGTCCCACCAACAATGTGAATGTACCCTTTCCCCCACAACTTAACCAACATTTATTCTTGATAATTGCCATTCTGACTGGAGTGAGATGGAATCTCACTGTAGTTTTAATTTGCATTTCCCTAATTGTTAGAGGTGTTGAACATTTTTTCTTATATTTGTTGGACATTCATACTTCTTTTGAGAAGTGTCTGTTCCTTTGCTCATTTATTGATTGGGTTATTTGGAGGTTTTCTTGGTGTTACATTTTTTGAGATCTTTTTTATATCCTGGAAATTAATGTCGTATCCGAGGAACAGTTGTTAAAGATTTTCTCCCATTCTGCGGGCTTACTCTTCATGCTGTTAGTTGTTTACTTTGCTGAGAAGAAGCTTTTTAATTTGTTTTCATCCCATTTGTGGATTTTTAATTTTGCTTCTTGCTCTTTGGGAGTCTTAAGGAAGTCAGTTCCTGAGCCAACATGTTGGAGTGTCATCCTACTATTTCTTCTCACAGGTGCAGGGTTTCTGTTCTAATTCCTAAGTCTTGAATCCACTTTAAGGTGAGTTTTGTGCAGGGTGATAGATATAGGTTTACTTTCATTCTACTCCATATGGATTTTCAGTTTTCCCAGCACTATTTATTACAGAGACTTTTTTTTTCCAACATAGGGTTTTGGCACCTTGGTCTAATATGAGATAACTGTATTATATGGAATTGTCTCTGTGTCTTGTATTTTATTCCATCTATTTTCACACCTATTTTGGAGCTAGTGCCATGCTGTCTTTGTTACCATAGCTTTGTAGTTTAATTTGAAGTCTGGTGTTGTGATGCTTCCTGCTTCACTTTTCTTACTAAGGATTCTTGGACCGTTCCTGGGCCTCATATTTTTTCAAATGAATTTCATGACATTATTTTCTATTTCTATGAAGAATGTCATTGGAATTTTGATGAGAATTGCATTGAATTATATGGCACTTTGGAATTTTGATGAGAATTGCATTGAATTATATGGCACTTACGGCCATGTTGACAATATTAATTCTGCCTAACCAAGAACATGGGAGGTCTTTCCATCTTCTAAGGTCTTCCCTGTCTCTCTTCACTGCTGTGTAGTTTTCTTTGTTGTGGTCCTTCACCTCTTTTGTGATTCCCAAATATTTTATTTTATTTTATTTTTATTGGAGTATTGTAAATGGAATAGTTTTCCTGATTTTTCAGCAGATTCATTTTTGGAGTAGAGGAATGTGATTGATTTATGGGTATTGATCTTTGTATCCTGCTGCTTTGCTGAATTCATTTATAAGTTCTAGATGTTTTCTGGTGGAGGTTTTTAGGTCTTCTAAATATTATAGGATCATGTTATCAGTAAATAGAGATAGTTCTAGCTCAGCTTTCTATTCATATCCCTTTAATTTCCTTCTCTTGCTCAATTGCTCAGGCTAGATTTTTCAGGACTATGTTAAATAGGAGTAACGACAGTGGGCATCCCTGTCTGGTTTCTGCATGTTTTTAGATGGAATGATTTATTTTTTCTCCTTACAGAATGATGTTGGGCTTGGATTTGTTGTACACAGCCTTTACAATGTTGAGGTATGTGACTAGAAAAACTAGGGATAGTTTTTCTAGTCTTTTAAACATGCATTGGTGCTGTATTTTTTCAAATGCCTTTTCTGCGTTTATTGAGAAAATCATGAGATTCTTGTCTTTAAGACTCTTTATGTTCTCTATTGATTTTCATGTGTTGAATGGACCTTGCATTCCTGGGATGAACACTCTTTGGTCATGAAGCATTACCTTTTTAATGTGTTATTTTATGTGTTTGCCAGTTATTTTATTAAGAATTATTGCCTGTGTGTTCATCAAGGGTATTTCTGAAGGTTTTTTTCCTTGATGTGTCTTTGTCTGGTTTTGGTATCAGGACAACACTCGCTTCATTGAATGATTTTGGAATAGTTCCCTCCTTTTCTAGTTCAAGGAATAATTTGAGGAGGATTTGTATTAGTTCTTTCTTAAGTGTTTGAATTTGGCTAAAAAAATATAATCTGTTCTTGGGCTTTTTTTTTTTTTAGTAGACTTGATGGCTTCTTCAATTTCATTCCTTGAAATAGAAATGCGTTGAAGGTACAATGTTGGCTATTGCATTAAGAATTATCATTCAAGTGAAGCAGTTATTTATATGATCAGATTTGACATTAGAGTTGTTCATAGTATACCATGTCCAGATGGAGAAAATCTTGTTGAATCTTGTGGGAGGCCATCCTTGCATGTGATTGAGTTACCTCCCCTGCTGGGTGTGAGGTGCTCAGACACTAGGTGTTAGAGCTTTCCCCACCCTTCTTGGGTCCGAGGGCTTGTCCGTGTGGAGGCGTGCCTCACCACTGCCCTCGAAGATCCAGTCATCTCATACTGCCTCCCCTTGACCTTTATTGGATGGGATTTTCCCAGAATTTTTTGTTCCCCAATAAAAGCCCTCTCCTTGGCCTGCTCTCTTGCTCTCGCTAGCCTCTTCAGTAAACCTCGCTACTTCCCTGGGTAGCTTGAGGCTGGGGTTCGAGGAGCCATCTGGAGCTGGTTTAAAGATAATTGGAGTCTGTGTCTTTAATTTAAACTCCCTTAGGATTTTCCCACATGGCCTATCCATTCATACCATTCATACTGCCTGCGCTGGTCATTTGGATTAAAGAATCTTGCCTGTGGATCTTTCCTGAGTTGCAGGGGCACAGGAGCCAAACTACCAGGACTTTTTGAATTGTCAGCTCAGGGGCCTGCATCTGACTGATCAGAGGGTTCAATGTTGTGAGTTGGGTGCTTCTATTGATTGCAGTAGTTCAGTATGCAGGCTTTGGAGTGTCCCTGAATTACTTGTGGGTCACTGTGTACTTGTTCCCTTCAGTTGGATCATATTCAGACCAGTGAAGCTCCCGATGGCTCTCTGTGAGTGCTAGAGTTCTGGTTTTGGTTTTTCCACAGGTGACCTGTGGTGCAGTAGTCCTCCCCAGCTAATGCTAGTTTCTGAGTTATAGTAGTGAAGGGTCTACAGTGGCTCACCAGGACTCTTTTCATCACTGTCATATTTGGATACCCCAGAAACCTTCACAATGACACTTCTCTGTCTTGGACAGCTTAAAACCACTTGGTACCACCCAATCTGTCAGATGTCTATAGTTGCAGATTAGCATCTCTGTGAGCTGAGCTGACCTCTTTGGCCACATGCTTCAAATCTAGCAGCAGCTCTGGATTTTGGCTTTTCTTAGTTTATTTTAATTCCAAGGAGGAGCTCTGATATGTGGTATGACCCAAGGATGTAAGCTAGAGTGGGACTGTGGAACTAGATGAAGCTTTTTAAGTGAAAACAAAACAAAGAAGCGAACTCTTATGCAGAATGTGATTTTTTTGATTATCTCTGTTGGAGACCCAGTTCTTACAAGTTCCAAGGGGAATCAACATAACGGAAAACAGGGCAGGGCCACTGGGCAAGTCCCCTGTAAGTCATGCTTTACTCTTAATTGCCACCATCTACAGACTCAAGAATAGCAAATTATAGGAAGTTTACATAGAATTTCAGAGTATCAGGACAACTCAGAATACAATATCAGTTGGGTAAGAAACAATCTTTTTCCTTAGTGTCCATAAGTCAACTTTGAATTCAGAGGAAGTTTTAGTAGGCTGCCATCCCAGGATGATCTCTGTTCCTAATTTGCCGAGTAACTGATTTTGACACTTCATTAAATATCTTTGAACTTTAGTTTTCTAACAGTAGATGAGAAATACATACCCATACCATGTAATACATTACCATGTAAGCACATCTGCAGTGACAGAACTGTTATACCTTTATATATAAATGTATAACAATATGTGTGTATGTGATTATATATATATTATTGGTGTGGTTATAGGCAAGAAAATGTTTAATTAGCATCTGAGTCAACTATAAGAAAAGAAAAAAAAAGAAAGGAGGCATTTTATGGCAAAACAATACAATACAATAATACTCCTTGGGCATTGAGCCACAAATAGGGCATCCGTAGTCTCGGACCCATATTGTGGTAAATGTCCCCAGGCTCTCCAAATTTCCAACTCAGCTCCAATTCTTCCCCATCGCACCTCCCCCACACTGGAACTGCTCCCTGGATTCTTAATGTAGCTCTCTACTTTCCCATCCAAGTGTCCTTAGGAGAGTGAGTGCGCCTGTCTGTTGCTTGTCTGCCACACACTACACAGAGTAAAATGGAGAAAACTATCCATCCACCTTTCAGGGCATATAGGAAGATTAAAGGACATAAAACAATCACAAAATACCCGGTACCAATATGTGATCGATAAAAATACAAGAGTAAAATTTCTTTGCAGATATCTGCTTTCTGCTATTCTACTCTAAAGAAAATCAGTTCTCTTCAGTGATTGCCTACTGCAGAAGTGCCTGGGACAACTTCCTGATGGATTCACACACAGGAATGTAAGGAGGAGGAATTGTGGAGGGATAGCCACGGAGGTCTGTTGGTACTTGGGTAGATGAATGGAACTGCATATTTCAGATAGGGAGTACATCAGGGAGGGGCAGAAATTCTTTTATCATACTAGTGTGTTCATGCAAATAACCAGACAACAAACACCTCCACATGGACAATGTACCTGATTGTGGCCCCTTTAGGAGACAGATTCTCAGATATCCACCCTTCCAGGACAAAGGGATTTGCAATTATACCCCAGGCCGCATACACCAAACTTTTTTATTTTTTTTTTTAGCAGGTCATAGCCTATTCAATTGTGACTAGAGCCTAGCATTGCTCTAGAAAAAAATATTATTATTTTTTTAAAATATAAATATTATCTATGTAAAATATGGAATTTAGAAATACAGACAAGTAGAAAGTAGAAGGCTCTTCTAAATCCCATTTTCTAGAAGCAATGAATATCATATTTGTTTTTAAATTTATTTATTATTCATTTATTTTTGTGGTGCTGGGTATTGAGCCCAGGGCTTTATGCTTGCTAGGGGAGCACAGCACCACTGAGTGACAGCCACAGACTAAAGCTGGTTTTTGTTTGTAATATATTTCAAGTATATATACATATATTTTTTTCTGTACTTGGATCTCATCTCCATGAGCACTGTTATCAATGGTATCCTGGCTTTAAGGAGGATTCTTGTGAAGTGTCCACATTTGAATCACGATTGAATGGACATATCTTGGATTTGTTGCCCTTGATTACCTTGAAGAAGAAAGAAAGAAATTGAGATGCAGCCGGCCACACATTTCTCTCTTCACCCACAGGGTCTCCTCCCCACGAACCTCATCTCTTTTCTCACTCCTACTTATCTCCTGTAACCATTCCTGTGGTTGGCGTCACCTTTTCCCACTTGCTTAGGACTAGAAAATCAGCTAGTCACTTTATCCACAAGAACACAGGTGGTATCAGGAAACAGCAGAAGAGAGAAGAGCTGGTGGACCCCAAGGCAAAGCTGAGTGGAGGTTTTCATTGGGCAGAAGGGCGGGAGGAAGTTACAAAAGGCTTTCCTAGTGCAACTGGTGGGAGGAATATTTGACTGTTGGTCCTGAGGATCAGAGAGATCTCTGCAGATGTGCTTGAACAGGTCATGTGTACATTTCAGTGGCTTGAACAGGTCAGCCTTTTTATTTTATTTCTTTGCTGTCCAGCATCAGCCTTTTGCAGTGTTCCATGACTTGCACATGAACGTGTGCATCAGTGTGACAAAGAGCACAGACACTGTCATCTACCATTTCTCTAAAGGGAAGTACTTGTGTTCTGATTTGCTCAGGGCAGCACTGGTAACCTAGATCTCTTAGGGGTTTTGTTGATGACCTGTTATGTTAGAAAATATTTCCCCACTTTATAGATGGTGACAGAGAAGTGCCTCGTGTTTAAAATCTTTAGTCAATTTGAAAATCACAGAGCCAGAAGTTGAAACAAATCTTCCTTAATCTAACCCAAATCTTTCATTAAATTATTTCCTTACTTTGGTTAATTCAACATATTTTCATTATTTAGCTTAGGGAAGAATGAATTTTTAAAGTGTCTCTGAATTTACTTTATTTATTACGTTTAAAAATAGAATTAGCTTTAAAAAAATGATGTTCATATGTCCTAATCGGCAGAGCTTAGTTTTTCTTCCCATATGTTGAACACTCTAACAGCATAGAGAGTTTATTTTCCTGAAAGTACAACATAAAAAAAAAAAAAAACTTGTTTCGGAAGAATGATATTCCATAGAACACCCACCTTGATGTAACTGTGGAAAACAGATCTCAGCTGCCACTTATCTGCATTCAAGGTCAATTCAAAACAGAAGAGATTAAGTTTATCTCCTTCTTCACAGTTGATATAGGTCAGCCGTCCATACACCACCACTTCCATCTTCCCGGTATCATCTTGTATTTCATAATAAGTGCAATCTTCCCTCACATTTTTCTGCAAAAGATTATTAACATTAATCTTCTGAGAAATGTATCAGGAATTCTTACATATTTGACAAATATAGGCTATAAATGAAAACGTTTATCTCTGACAAGGTAAATAGATCTGAAGTTTCTGAATCACAGGTAACAAAAACTTAAGGTATTTTCCACCAAACATCTCTCAGGCTTTCCTAATTTAATGTCTGCATCTGTAAGGTTTTTCTAGAAAACCTTATCTTCCTAATCTGTACTGTTTCCACATAGGCATAGTCACTATAAAAATCTGATTACCTGTATAGGTTTCTTTGATACCTCCACAAGAAAAGAGAAGAAAGGTCATTTAAGGCTCCCTGGGTGAGGCTGAGGGAAACTATTACATTTCCTCATTAAGTAGATTGTTATCTCAATATACAATTTATTGTTTGTCTTCTTCATTGACTTGCTCTTCTCCAAATATTAAATCCAGATCATCTAGCCCCAATGTTTCTGGTCATATCTCCACTATATTTATTAGTTCTACAGCCACATATATTTGCACTATTGTTTAAACAGAAAACATCCCAGGTAAAAGAAAAAGAAAAAGTCGCCCTTATCTGGGTATGGTGGTGCATGCCTGTAATCCCAACTGCTCTGGAGGTTGAGCTCAGAGGGTTACAAGTTCAAGGCCAGCCCAGCCAACTTGGTGAGGCCCTGTCTAAGTAGATAGATGATTGAAAGACAGACAGACAGGATTAGGAATGTAGCTCAGTGATTGATTAACCCTGGTCTATTTTAGTTGTTGTTCTCTTCACTACCAAAGAGAACAACAACAAAAATAGACCATCCTCAAAGACATACATAGCAGATTGACACACTTCCAACAAGCAGTTATCTCAGCTAAGGGTACTAAGTTGCATGGTGTATCAGGACTGAAAGACCCTAAGTCTAAGAATTCACCAAGCTTCTTTGCCAATTGAGGGGTCTCTGACTGAGACTATAGGTCTCTGATCTTTCAGCTTCTATGTTTCTCTTATGATTTACTGCAGAGGTCAGCTGCTCAACCATCTCTGAATGAAAAGTAATGAATGGGAAAAGGTGAGAGCCTTTTAAAGGGACAAGAGTCCAGCTGATCAGAATCTGAGGTCACTGTTAAATGTCACCACATCCTGGGGCAGAGTCATCTATTTGGTTTCTTACTATGTTTACCACAACCAGATCCAGATTTGGGAGGCCAACTCTTTATTTACAATTAAGTTGTCATTGATACCGATGGGGAAACCTCAAGCAAAATCCTAAGGATACATGTGTTGAGATGAACTATAGGGTGTTATAGACCAGAGTGGCTATGAAAGTATCAGAATAGCTGTTAAAATGCCAAAGATTCTTGGTGAATCTCTTTCTGAAGAACTCTCCTGGTGAGATCCTGTAAAGACAACTGTTCTGAAACTTACTGTGCCATACTCTGATGATGAAGTCTCCACTTCCCAATCCCTGATCAGTCAGGCCTTGATTTCCTCTGTTCAGTAAATTGAGTCGACTCCCGTCAACAAGTTAAGACTCTTAAAATCTGGGCTTGCAGAAGAAACTTTATGAAATAGTGCTGTGGCTTACCTTATACACCATGTACACCCCATTCACGTATTTTGTTGTGCTTCTTGAGCAAAGATACTCAATTTTAGGAGTTGCATTAGCATTTTTAATCAGTGTCTTTGAGATCTCCATCTTTCTGTCTGCGCTCACATGAGACACAGTTGAAGCACTGTATAGCTCCAGGAACCCGTTGCGGCCAATGTAATCGGATATGGCAATAACTGTCTTTGGGATGAATTTGTCCTTCAAGTTGATGTCGAAAACTTTCACTCGGAAGAATTCGCTCTCAGTGGCCACTGTAGCATGAAACATCTTCTTCCCGCCTTCTTTGAACTCATAAGTAAATGGTTCTGTTACTTTCAACACCACTACTTCTTTGGGGCCCTTCTGGTGACCACATTCTTCAGAGGCTTCTTTAGGTACAGTTTTCAATCTTGGATTCTACTTAGGAAATACACAGCAAAAACAGGCACCGTTAAGATAGGGTATCTTGGGTCACTATCTAGTGAGAGCTGACTCAGTGTTGATTCTCAAGGAACATCAAGAAGATTCTCAAGGTTGATCCCCAAGAAAACAGTACTTGGGCAGAACTGGGGGGAACTCTAGACAACACTAGCATAAATAGTATAATTTAGGTGGTGGAATAAATAAGAAGATTTAGGTAGTCATTTCACCGGCACTATCCTTACAGATTCGTAAACTAGTGTCCAATTTAACTCATTATGGAAGACGGAAGGGTAAGTGTTCACTTGTTAGAGTCTGTAAACAAGTCAGGATGGCGCCTGGCATTTTGCCAGGGGGAGTGGTTTGCGAAGTAACGCCAGCGAGCCATTAAGTGTGGAGATTCCTTATTGGTTGACTGATGTATCTAGTTTATGCTAATTAAGATAAGCTGTGTGGAATGTATAAATATCGCTCTGGTCCTACAATAAGCGGCTCTCACTCCTGCTGTATCAATCTATGCAAGTTGCTTGTCACCCCCCCCCCCTCCCCGTTAATTTGCTGCAGCCGGACTGCAGCATTCACTAACAATCATATATATTACTTCAATGAAGTGGAGTATTATGTGAATGAGAATTCAAATGTAGGATAGGATCTCAAAATGTACTCAATAAAATGAGCAGCTGAACTGAACAAATGTGGGAGAAGCTCTTCCAAGTTTGTAAATCTCTGTCATTATAGTGTGGGAACAGAAAACTCTTACCGTGGGTAAGCAACTGCTGAAAGATGTCACAGTCTTCTGAGGAGTCTGCAGACTGGCAGATGGTGTTGCTGGCCCCACTTGTGGATTCTGGATTATGGTGGATGGTTCTGTGGGATGCATCTGAGGAGTTTGGATTCTACTGGATGATGCTGGAGATGAATGAGGACCCTGGATTCCTCTGGATGACGTTGGAGAAAAATGAGGAGTCTGGATTTTGCCTGATGGATCTTCGGGACACATGTGAGGGGTCTGGACTCTGCTGGATGATGTTAGAGATACGTGAGTGGTCTGGAACTCACTGGGTGATGTTCGAGGTAACTGTGGAGTGGGGGTTCTGCCAGCTGGTGCTGCCGGAGGCACCTGAGGAGTCTGGATTTTGCTGCATGATGTTGGAGATGTGTGAGGACCCTGGATTCCTCTGGATGATGTTGGAGAAAAATGAGGAGTCTGGATTCTGCCTGATGGATCTGGGGGAGACATATGAGAGGTCTGGACTCCGCTGGGTAATGTTAAAAGTAAGTGAAAGGTGTTGGTTTTGCCAGATGGGGCTGTCGGAGGCATCTGAGGAGTGTGGACACTGCTGGGTGGTGCTGTTGGAGGCTTCTGAGGAGTGTGGACACTGCTGGGTGGCGCTGTTGGAGACATCTGAGCAGTGTGGACACTGCTGGATGGTGCTGTTGGAGGCTTCTGAGGAATGTGGACACTGCTGGATGGTGCTGTTGGAGGCTTCTGAGGAGTGTGGACAATGCTGGTTGGTGCTGTTGGAGGCTTCTGAAGAGTGTGGACACTGCTGGTTGGTGATGTTGGAGGCTTCTGAGGAGTGTGGACAATGCTGGTTGGTGCTGTTGGAGGCTTCTGAAGAGTGTGGACACTGCTGGGTGGCGCTGTTGGAGACATCTGAGCAATGTGGACACTGCTGGATGGTGCTGTTGGAGGCTTCAGAGGAATGTGGACACTGCTGGATGGTGCTGTTGGAGGCTTCTGAAGAGTGTGGACACTGCTGGGTGGTGCTGTTGGAGGCTTCTGAGGAGTGTGGACACTGCTGGTTGGTGCTGTTGGAGGCATCTGATGAGTGTGGATAATACACTGAGGTGGTTTTACGCCAATTTCTGACAGTTGTGGAAGTTGACGCTGTCCCTGAGATTCCTGGGCCTTCACGTTATTTGTTTTGCTATTCGTGGCTTCCATTTCCTGAAGGAAAACAGGTTTCTTTACTTTGTTGTAGTTGTTGTTGTTTAATGGTTTTAAAATCAAATGAAATTCATCTTTTATTTTCATTTTTTTCCCTCTTTAAATAGGACTTTGACCCTGCAAATTTTATTCTGGGTCACAGTAGGAATCATAGCATACATTCAGATACTTCCAACACATTGCCTCCTCCTACCACAAACCTCCTTTTAAATGTTAAAATCAGAAAGGACTGCAATTCCATTGGTCTGGGAGGTGATACTGGTTCTACAGATCCTATAAAACTGATCTAAATCATGTGATTAGATAAAACTCTTAGGATTATTTTTTGGGGAGGGCAAAACAGCAGATTCACATTTATGGGCATTTCTTAAGTAAGCCTTTCCAATCAAGCAAATACATGCACCAGTCCCTGTCCTGTGCTCTTTGACAAATAAGATATACGGGTCTCCATCCTTTCAGGTGTCCTATCATAACTCCAACAGAATAGGTCCCTCAAATTCACAGTTCCTCAGGAAGGATCCTGCTACCTCTATACTGTGGATCAGGAAGCCAGAATCTTTCTGGGTTCCTAGTTGCATTCACAGCAATTCAACATACTACCTAAAGCATTATCCTTAGCTACATGGTTAGACAATTTCAAGTAACAATGGGAAATCTCTATAAAATCATATGCCATGACAATCTTCAATTACACTAATGGAAGATCATTAAATATCATCATAATTGGGTCAGCACAACACACTACTGACCAGTTTTTTTTAACTGTTTTGTAGTTGTAGATGGACAGCATGCCTTTATTTTGTTTATTTCATGTGGTATCAAGTGCCTCACACGTGCAAGGCAAGTGCTCTGCCACTGAGCTACAGCCCCAGTCCCCTGACCAGTTTTGACAGGATTGACAGCATTCAGTAATCTGACTTTTAAAGTGCCAGTTGTGTATATGTGTGAAAGAACTGCTTAGAGGGCCGTCACCTGGAGTAGAGCCCCTTAGAACAGCTTCTAAGCACCACAGGCACTTGTGCCACAGTAACAAACCCCAAGCCTAGCACTTAACATAAAAGTGTTTAAAAATAAATTTGAGACATTTTAACATCTTCACACCTACCCTGCAGTCCATCTGTGTTCATTGAACATTCAAGTTTTACAGTTGAAAGATGACTGGATCTAAATCCTGGCACGGATGTCTACTACCTCTGTGACCTGTCTGATTTCACCCATCTCTATTTTCTCATGTGTGCAATGAGACTAACAAGACCATTTTCATATGGTATTATAAAGAAGAAATGAGATGATGTACATGAACCTGGGTTCTACATTTGCTGCCAACTCATTTGATCAAGCACAGTTTTTAGGGTTATGTTTGGGTAAAAAAGAAAAAAAAAAAACCTCTGTTTTTTTTTTTTTTTTTTTCTCTAAGGGAGGAAATTTCAGAACAAAGTCAGCAGCCTTTGAATTGAATTTTGTTTATTAACTAAAACTTTCCATTAAGGAAATGCACATTTTTTGTCCTGACACCTGTTCTCCAGGCTCCTAAAAAGAAAAACAGACAAACAAAAAAGCAGATTTCTTTGACCTTTCAGGAAAGATTATTGTGAGAAATGTGGGTTCTGGGAACTAACAACAATACTAACAACAGAGGCTGGGCATGGTGGTGCTCTCCTGTGAGGAGGAGGCTGAGGCAGGAGGATCACAAGTTCAAAGCAAGCCTCAGCTACTTAACGAGGCCCTAAGCAACTTATCAAGACCCTCTCTCAAGATCAAAAATAAAGAGAACTGGGAATTTGGCTCACTGGTTAAGTTCAATCCCTCCTGCCCATAAATAAACGAATAAGTAAATACAACAGAAAATCAAGCCAAAAATCAATAGTCTCCCTGTATAGGAGGTCTGTCTTCAACATCGGCATATGGCTTGGTGGTGAGGCTGGACCTTAAGTCGAAGTGCAGCGTGGGTCTTGAGTTAGAAACCAGAGTGCAGAAGAGTGACTTAACTTGTGCTCTTACCTGCCCCTCCTGAAAACTTGAAGAAATTTTTTCTTGCTTATTCACCAACGGTACAGACTTCTTGATCTTGGGTCGCTGGTAAACACAGGAATCACATCAAGGCAGGGAAACGAAAAGGCAAAACAAAAAGCAGAGTTTGATGGAGTTGATAATACAGGTATGAATTCACTTTTCCACCTCTGTCTTTTCTCCCCTCTGGCAGAGCTGACTACAATATGAGTTTGTCATCTAGTAGAGAAGAAAGACACCTATTTTTTTTTTTTTACAGTAGGATAAAAGTACAGAAAAGCTTAGGGCCAATGTCTGCTCTTTTGCATAGGGGGTCTTTCCATGAGGAATTATTTGAGGAATGCATTATTGCTGGTACCGGATGGGTAATAAGGAATTCCAAAGCAGGGACAGACCATGGGTCAAAAGACGTGGCAAGCAGTAGCACAGGTGGCTGAAATTAACTCAGAAGTTTGGTCAGTAAGCAAAGATAAAGGGTTGAGAAGAAATTGGAATCTAGAGTGAACATACTTGTATTCATGCATCTTTCTCTGTCTGGCCAACCCCCATTCATATCCATCTCTCCTGGACCAACACATGAACCTAACACTGTGGAGATCAGAAATTGTTTCATCAATGTATGCCTTGTAAATAGCCCTGAGATTTTGATAGATGCATTTTGTAAATCAATATGTGATTTAATTGTAGGAGGAAATGGGGTACAGTAAGGGATTAGGAAAAGTTCTTTCAAGGTTTTAATGACCCCTGAAATATGGTGTGGGGAGGGACAAGTATTAGGAACAGGAAGAGGTACCTTGACTGGAGGACTATTGGATGGTTCTGGTGGAGCCCCATGAGGAGTCTGGGGACAGACCGCAGTTTGTTCTTCGCTGGTTGCTGAAGGTTCCATAAACCGACCCTGTTCTGGGGGAAGCTGTGTTCTCTCAGGGTCTTCAGATTTTTTCATTTTGTTTTCTTGAGACAATTTTAGTCTTTCTTTCTTCTTGACAGAGGTAGGTTTTCTTTTTTGGTGCTGCGAATTGAACCAGGGCCTTAATCATGCTGATTAGGTGCTCCACCTCTAAGCCACACTCCCAGCCTTTGGTAATGGGGTTTAATGTCAGTTGAAGCAGAGCATCTTTAGACAAGAAAGTCTGTATTTATAAGCAGATTCTAATTATACTAATACCCTTGGGAACTCCAGGGAGTCAGTCCATCTTCTAAAAAGATGGCCAGAAGGTAAGCACTGGCCATACATGACTGCTTCACAGAAAGAGGAAAAGTAATTTGTGCATGTCACCCTGTACTCACCTCTGGTGATGGAAGAGCAGGAGACTTGGATTTGGAAAAGCTAAATTTGGACTCAGTGTCTCTCAATAGGCTTTAGCAAGCCATTGTCCCAAACTGATTGCTATTTTAGTGCATAGCTTACAAAAGTGTGATGATTTTCTGTTTCTGCTCTAGGGGGTCATATTACCTAAGTTCAAGTGCACAGCAGTACTGAAAGAAAACGGGAGACCAACAGGTATGAGTTTGCAGGCTCAGAAGCTCGTTTTTCACTACGTTCTTGATCTATACAGATACTGGAGGGTAGATTAAAAGGCAAAAAGTGGAAGATCAGGAGTGGACGCTTTTTCAGTGGGGGCTCAGCAGTCCTACCTTCAACGAAGGTATCTCCTCCTCTGACTCTGGTTCCGAATCTGTGTTTGTTGTGGACCTGGACTGGGCAGTAGGAGATTCATCCTGCTCCACTTTTTTCCCTGTAGATTTTTTTTCCCCTTTGGATTTCCTTTTAACTGATGAAGTAAAAGACAGCACAATAAACCGGGGCTCCTGGGTGAGGACAGTGGACGCAGTCTCAGTCGGTTTCCCCTCTGCTCCTGCTTTTGTGTCTGACTGGGGGCGTCCACCTCTAGCCCATCAGCTCAGCCTGGCAGAAGCCACCCAGGCCCAGCCTGTCCCTCCGCGGTTTCCTTAGCCTTCCTGTGTGCAGTGAGCACAGCCTTCCTATCCCGGGGACTCCCAGGGACCTCTGTCAATCCCTTTCCCAACCCTCTTATTGTACATTTGCCTCATAAGTTTCTACACTCTACATGATGTTAAGGAGAGGTCATCTTTGTAGAAGATTTCTCCAAATTGGAGAAAATAGAGAAGGAAATATCATCTCCTTTGCGACATGGAAAAGTGGTGGTATTGGACTTTGAGTTCTTACACGTGGTTTTTAAACCCAGTATTTCATAAGAGGGAATGTCTTCACATCAGTGAAAGGCAGGTTTTTAATTAAATAGTGCTTCTCTTTTGTTGCCAGAGAAGATATTAATGATGAACTAGTATGCTAATAAAGCAATAATAATAATTGATTTAAATATTTTTTAAATGCACCTTTTTCCCCCTCAATTTTACTTTGTTATTTTCCAATGTAATGTATTGGAAACACTAGTCTCTCAATGAGTCCTTCTACCTATTTTCTTCATCTCCACCCTCAAAAGACATAACCCCTTTGCCAAAAAAAAAAAAAAAAAACAAAAACAAAAACAAAAAAAAACCATCAGAACACTTGACTGGAAAGGAGTTCTCTAAGTGGTCAAATGGTTGGCATCTCAAGAACCATGATTGCTATGGCAACTGAGGTTTTGACTTGGGAAAGGGATGTATCAACTGTGAGCAAGTCAGGGCTCTAGTCAATGTTGGGGAAGGTGGGGGCAGAAAGGATGGGAGTCAGGGGTGCCTCCTGGTTACCTTTCAACCTCCGAGTTTTAAGAGTTTCCGCGAGGTCTGCAAGTGCCGGAATGTCTTTGCAGAGTGTTATCAGTTTTCCCAGCCCAGCATCCCTTTGGAACTTCTCTTCCATCAAGTCAGCAATCCTAATTCTGTCATAATCTTCTTGCATATTTCTAGTCAGTTTTAAGTCTTTGGCCAATAAGGACTTAATCAATCTAAATTCATAATCCTTAATGGCCTCTAGCCCCACCAGCAGGACAATTTTCTTGTATTCGTTCACCATCTCTCAAGTTACGGATGAGCCTACAAGACAGAAACAGCATAGAGTCTGACCCGTGCATACGGACACTTTAAAAAATGGCTTATGTGTGTGTGAGTGACTGCCCCCTGTCCACGTGCCGTCCAGAGGTGTGTGTGCGATGATGAAGAGGGCTTGGTTACCAGAGGTGCTGCTGTGGAGGTGGGGGGAGGAATGCTGCAGTACACGTTTCTAAGAAATTCTTCCCTCTGAGTGATGAGAGCGGAGTGGATTCAATGGTGGGTGGTGAAGGGGTCTGGAACAGGCTGGGGGGGTGCAGTGTCAGAGCCCCTGGCTCCCCTTGCCGTTCTTTCTTGGACCTGGGCCCATCCCTGGGTGTATCTTGTTCCTGACTCTCTGCTCACCTGTTATGAATGAAGTGGCTGCTGGGCCAATGGCCGTGGCCTCCCAGCTCCCCCAGGAGTGACTTCTGCTGCTGCTGCACCCCACTTCCAGGCTCAGGCACTGACCCTGTCCACTTGGCTCTTCCCTACCCAGCTCTCATTAGTACTGCGTCTGTCCTCGTGTTGGAGCATGCATTCTGTGTCCTTTGTCACAATATGTATTGGTAGAATTATTTATTGGGTCATAGTATTTATTGGTAGAATTATTTCAACAGTTACTTGATTTTTCTTCTTTCAGCCTTAATTTCCTTAATTAGATTTTTCATGGAGTCAGTTTTCTCTCTAGGGTCCACAGCACACTACTGCTGAAAATTTTTAATAGTGTTAGAAATATTCCTGACTCCTTAAAGGATCCTGGAAGGCCCTGAGTGACCTCCTGTTTTTCATTTCTGTTTTGCTCTTCATATCCCTCATGTCACACGCTTCTGATATACACAACACACTCTTGTCTTTTCATGCTTTATGACTTTGCTACTTCCCTTTCATGGCCTGAAAAGCCATTTCTGTATTTCCTTTTCTGATTACCTCCCACTACAACCTTTAAGTGTAAACTGAGGTTTTGTCTTCTGGAATCCCTAGAATTCCCACATGGACAAGAGTCATACTTCTGAACCTAGGTAGCTTTTTGTGCTCTACCGTAGTGACACTGGTACATGGTATGGATTCCAGTTTTCTGCTTACTTTACAAGTGTTTTTAGTTTAGAAATCATTTCTTTGTACACCTTTTGGATAAATGGAATGTTCAAATTTCTTTGGCTGTTAATTGCTTCTTCCTTGAGGGAACAGGAACATCCTCAGATTGAATATAGCATAACCCAAATATCTATTGCATAACCCAAATACCTTTAAAATAGAAAGTTTTGAGAGTGTGGCAACACAATTTGTTTGTAAAATATAACCATATGTGAGATGATAGGTGGCTATGTGTAATCCTTATTCTTCTGAAATCTGAACACTCTTGTTTGTGTTGTTGTTGAAATATTATTGCTTTTGGTATTGGAGTAAAGATACAGATTATCAGTGGAGCTTGTAGTAATACAATGTATAGAACAGATGTTTCAAATAGCCTTCTGTGAACTTCAAAAACTGAATTTCAAAATATATCTAGCCCCTCAGTACAGAAGAAGGTGCTCTAACCTGGCCTGAGTGAAAAAATAATTTTGGAAGTGTAATTTTAACCTACAAAAATGATATTTAAGCAGGAAAGCCTCAACAACTACTCTGTTTTTCTCAAGGCCTAGGTAGTTTTGAATTACAACAACCCACATGGAAATATCTATTGAAAGAAGTAGTCAATAAGAAAATAATAGATTAAGAAATACTTCAGGCCAAAAAATCAGGAGAATGAAAACAAACTTGATTAAGTATGACTATGTCTTAAAAATAAAGGTATGATTGAAGAGAAAAAATAGAGGAAACCCATCATCATGGCGAAAGTAGGAGAGAAACAGAAAATAACAATTTCTTTATGTATTTTTCATAAAGCATAAGATAGAACAATAAGTTAAAAACAAAGAGAATAAAGAAGTGTCATAGATTGAAGTAAAGATAGCAAAAACAAGACAAAATACTTTATACCAGCATATACATAAAGGGCCTAATCAGTTAGGTGATTTTATGTTTTTGTCAAAATTAATTGAAGACATCTATCTAAGTGTCATTAAAAAAACATCACTGACATGTGGAAAAAACAGACATCGTTATCAGATAACATCTAATAATAAAACATTCAGCTCCTAGGAAACCCAGCAGTTTTAATTATGGATGTTTCTAATAACAGTTATAATAACTTTTTGGTCCTCCTGGTACCATAAATATATTTTTCTCCATATATACACACACAGAGACACAGATGTATACATCATTACATATATGTAGCTATCTGTATGTAGCTACACATATATGGATTTCAAGGAACCACAAGGAAAAGTGACAATTTTTTTAGTTGGTATGGCAGATCTCCATATCTTTTGGCCTGAAGTATTTCTTAATCTATGAATTTTCTCAATTCCTGAATGAACAAAGTTAAAAAAATATGTAAATATTTAGATTATCTGAGCAACATACCTGATGTACTTAACAATATTTTTATATATATAAAAAATATGATATCAACAACTAAAATCTCATAATCTATTCAAGTGCACATGAAATATTGAATTTGGCTCTACAGAAAGTCTTTTAAACCTTCTAATATACAAGACTTCTTTCTACTTGACTTCCCTTCTTCTCCCGTACTTGAATTTCCTTCTTTTTCTCTACCTCTTAACACCAAAACCTATGTATATAGTATGATAATGAATTTTCAGGCTGGCAGAGCTATCCAAAAGTGATTGAAATCTGCCACTAGTCCTGTTTTCAAATGGAATTAAAGGAAAGTTAAAAATACTTCTGAAAATATTAAGATCATATATTTGAATATCTGAGCTTGTGAATCTAAAATTTTCTATGATGCCTTTCCATTTATTCTCATGTTTTGGAAAATTGGGATAATGCTACACAACACAGCGTCATTCCAGGTGTGTGTTTTTAATTAACATTACTTTATGCTTCTTTTCATGTCTCATTCTTGTCTTTTCCTGAGGTCCCTCACTACAGTCACCAAGTTTTTTATACTCTCTCCAACCAAGAAAACCAAAGTCCTCTTCTGCAATATGAACTCCTGCCAATTCCTCCTCAGAGTTTACAATCCGAAATAGCCAAAATGCACTTCCCCTTTTTCAGGCTCCCGTGTTGGCGGAATAAAGAGGTCTGTTATCTTTCTAAGTGAATCAGTCTAGCTACTGAAGTTATCGCCAATTCCAAAGCAGCTGATGCCGGCCCGACTCCCCTCACCCCACCACCCAGAAGACCCAACACTGATTTCCCCGGCTGACCTTGTGATTTGTGGGAGGTGTCCACAAAATCTTCTTCACAGAAAGCACTGACAGGACTCACCTCCCTGGGGATTTCTTCAACAGTGGTCCAGCTCTTCAGCTCTTCAGTAGTGCAGGAAGCAGGGATTTTTTTGTTTGCATTAGAAAACTAGGTGAGATCTCTCAGAGACTGAACGAAAACGGCAGGATCTTGGGTTCTGAAATGCTGAAAAGATGAAGCATTTCCTGAAGAAAACAGGAAAAGTGCCCTGGTGAGTCACTTACTGACAATGCTGGGTGTCTCACTCGCTGGGCTCTCAGCCCAGGGGGAGAGGAAGCAACGTAAACAGAGCGAGATGCCTCTAGGTTTCGATTTCTTCAGCCAGAGAGGCTAAGTGCTTTTCCTGTAACATCTCAGTAACCCTGACAAGTTAGAGCAGTAGTTACATGTTTTTCTTACAAATCTCAATAGATAAGGAAGTCTAGAACTGGAAAATTGGCAGAATGCTTCGCAATACAGCTTCATGTCCAGACGTGTTTTTTACCTAATATTATATAATTTTTTTCATGTCTCATTCTTGTCTTTTCTTGAGGGCCCTCACTATAGTCACCAGGTTTTTTTTTTATACTTTCTCCAAGCAAGAAAACCATATGCTACACAATACAGCATTTCAGGAACTCCATATCCAGCATTTAGGAACCTCTCTTCCTTTGCATGATGCTAAAAAATCAAAGAGGAAAGGTGCACATTCCAGTCACTTGCAATGCACACCTCCTAGTCTTCCCCACAATGAGAAGAAAAGAGAAAGGAGCACCATTAATCTCATCTTCATGGCGTGAACAACAGGGAGTGTTTGGATACATGAATGAACTGAGTTTCCAGTTCTCTGACCCTCACTGTATGGACAGGGTAGATTTTTCTACTATCCTTGTCTGCCCAAGCTTCCCTGAAAATCACCATTAGTTATTTTCAGCTCGGAAGGCACTGCTCACTAGCAATGATGAAACATCTACCCATATGTGTACTGGAGATTGGATTAATGTTGTTAATACAATTAAAATACATTCATATTTTTTGGCAATTTAACAAGTGGGATGTTTATAGTAGGATGTGTGGTTCTGTATATCTTCTGCATGCAAATTATCTATTAATCATATTACATATTGCAGATATGCAGATATGTTCTCCCAGTGTTTGGTTTGTATTTGTACTCTAATACCCTGTCTTATTTGTTAAAAAAATAAAAAATTAAAAAATAAAAAATTTAAAAAAAACCTTAGAATTTGCATGCATGCAATTGAATTTAATAAAGTTTTACTTTCTGGCTTGCACTTTTTTGTGCTTTAAGATATTTTCCCTCCCTCAATGTAATGAGATTTTCCTGTTATCTGTAAATGATATCACTCAACACATTAGAACTTCAGTCTCTCATGCTATGTAATTTTTGTGTGATTTTGTGAGATACAAATCCAATGTTTGACTCTCATCTATGGAGATTTCTCATCGGCCCAACACTTTATATTTGGCCTTTCTGTCGGCTGTGTTACAATACCATTTTTTCACATATATGTGCTTCTATCTTCATGCTATCTGTTAAGTGACATTTCATGTTGCCTTAATTATTATGGCTGTAATAGATATTGGTTTCTTGTAGAGCTGGGGCTTCCAAAATCATCAGTTTGATTTCTCCTTACTCTTTTATATAGGTTTTAGGCTTATCTCAACAAATTATTCAGAAATGTCTT